CACTTGAATGATAGACAGAGACTCACAATACTAAAAAAAGAGATGAGAATGGGTTTTGGGTGAGATTTGTATAAAATAGAGCTCGGATACAGTTGTAATCCACAAATAATAAGGGCATGCTAAAGTAAAAACTTTTGAGGAAAATGTAACAAACTTAAAAGAATGATCCTTAAACCGCATATATTCACTCCAACTAACAATTAGGGTATTTTTATATGCAAATATTAGATGTCTCTATGGATTATTTATTTTTATTCATCAAAAGTAAATTGAGAGGGGAGTTTAAAATTGAATGGGATGCAAATAAGTATCTACAACATAATTATTATGAGGGAAGGACTATCTTAGCCTGCAATTAAAAGAACACCCAAGTATTGGTTGGACAATTAAAGGATTCAACATAATGGCACCATAATTTTCAAAAAGAGAGGAACCTTTCAACAAATGGGGAAAAAAGAGATTGCTATTATGAGTGACAAAGTTTAAGCCCTTCTCTAAGCTTGACAACCACCTGCATTTAAGAAGTCCAAAAAATAACATTTGCTCATTTTAAGCCACCCATAACCATATAGGTTAAAAAACCACGTTCCAAGGAAGGGTGTAGTATTATAAAGCCTTCAAATGCATTTAGCCTCACACAAAAGGTTAACCAAGTCAAGATTAGAGAGGTTAAGCCCACCACGACTCTTTGGCTTAGTATTAGTATCCTAAGAAGTAGTAAAGAGCTTGCCTCTTTCTCAATTAAAATTGGGGAAATTGTTAGTTAAGGAAGAGAGTTCATTTCTAATGCACTTAGGGATAATGAAAGATTTGAACCAATAATAGACAACTCCAAACTAAATATCTCATAAGTTAAAGAAATGCGAGCAGTTTTTATTCCATCTACTAAGCCAAGATAACATTTTATCCAACATTTTATTATAATTGATGGATTTCATATTAGCAGAGTTAATAGTGATATCAAGATAAGTCTAAGTGAACCGTTTGTGTAAAAAAATTGAGGTTTGACATATCTAAAAGACAAATGATCCATCAATAGTCTTAGAGAAACATTTATCAAACTTGGAGTGATTGATATTCATCTAGTACATTCTTTAAATCTATTAAGCACTTGAATGTGATAATTAATATTATTTTTCAAAGCTTTACCAAATATTTGCAAGCCGTCAACATAGATTATGTGAGCGATGCATAGGCTATTATGCATAATACTTTAAAATTGAGGGAGAGATGTTATTCCTTAAGAAGTCTAAAGAAGATATCCATAATGATGACGAATAGATAAGAGGAAAAAGGGTAGCCTTCACTTAAATCAGAGGATGCACCAGTATCTTCGATGGTGATGATGGCAGAAAAATGAACATCAATGATACGAGGTTTAATTCAATTAATAAATTTGTTTATCTGTGCAAATGAAATTTTATGTTCACTATCTCAAATGCTTTCTTTAAATCAATTTTAATAAAAAAGAAGCTTAAGGCAGGTGCGAAGAGGAGCTGAAATCATCAAGGGCGTATTAGCCATAATGATATTATCAGATATATCTCAGCCATATAAAAAAGGTAGCCTGAGCAAGATTGATAATAGATGGAAGACTGGTATTCAGCCCGACAAAAAATAACTTAGCAAAGATTTTATAGATTATGCTACAGAGAGAGATTGGAAGATTATCACACATACTTTTTGGCAATATAGTTTGTAGGAATGTGTGTGATAATATAGTACTTGACTCCATTATAAAGGTTATAAGTGACGAAACAAAATAATTAATGTAAGTTAAATTAACTAGCTCCTGTGCATTATTTGATCGAATGCTAAAAAAACATCTTTAATTTGACCATACAAAAATCAACAATAAGAGAATTACATTCAGAGCCATCCATTAGTCTACCAATTGAGCACTTCAAAGCCATGAACGAGTAACAATGATTATTAAGAAGAGAAGATAAACTTAGAACAACTTCATGGGAAGTGCTCTCTTTAGCATTAAGAATACCACTAATAAATGAGAGTTCTCTAATATGATTTATGTTGCCTCAAATATTAATTATATGATAAAAATTTCAAGTCATCTTCCTCTTTAGAAAGCCGACCACAATTGATATGCTTCTTAACCCATTTAAACTCATATTTAGATGCCTTAATTAACATGTTGAACATTGATATTTTCATTAAGCAGGTTGATGTCAAGATGGTTATGTTGGAGGAGGAGAAAGATGATTTTTTTGGTGAAGCTTGAAGTCATATATAACATTAGCGAACTTGTTGTAAGAACAACATTTCTACTGCTTCAAAGTAAGCTTAAAAAACTCGAGCTTATTGCTACGGGCAACGAGAGAATAATCATTAACAATAATGTTGCAAGTGTCATAAATACTATAAAAAAATTAGGCATCGTACATCCATAAATTCTTATACATAAACCCATAAGAGGAGATAATGTTAATGCCAGTTTGAATAATAAAAGGGGAATTGTTAGAAATAAGAGGCTCCCTGAATTTAATAAAGGAGAGAGGAAAATTATCAAACTATCCATATTTATAAAGTGATCTAACAAGAATGCATCAAATATAATTGAGAGGTGGCTGAATAAGCCATATAAAATATAAACCAGTATTAGGAAGCTTCAAGAGCCTAGATTCATTCACATAATTTTATAAATTAGCAAGTTTGAAGGGAAAAAGACACATCACCACCCACCTTATCATTGGTGCTCAAAATATAGTTAAAATCATCCATAATAAGCCAAGGTTCAACAACAAAAACAATAACAAAAAAATATAAAAATTCACAATTTTCAATATATACAAGATTGATTGAACATTTAGACGAGGGAGAGAGGGTAAGTAAACCATGTATGTACCAAGCATGTGCCTCAATGGTCGTGAAAGAGACACAATTATGATTCTATTTAATCTTGATTCTATAATATTAGAAGCATTATAGATTATTATAACTACTCTTATTAGGGAAAATAGAAAGTTGCTTGACAAGCAAGGGTTACGAAAAAATGGAGTGGGAACTTTCTGTCTCAAGGAGACCGATGATCTCAAGATGGTGTTCGTGATTATATTTCCTGCAGTCTGTGATTATAGTGTCATTATTTAAACCATTGAAATTCCAAACAAGAAGAGAATGATCAGAAATGCATAAGATTAAGAAGAAGAGGATTATTCTCTTGACCTTCCTTACTTGGACTTCATAAAGGGAGAGGAGGTGAGATAGTAAAATCATTGGAGGAAACATTTGAGGTCAAGTTTTTTAAATAATATTTAGCCATAAAATTAAGGTTTTACCTGTTTTGGGAAGTGGGGTGTGATAAGTTGTAGATTGGGCAAGGTTAATCATAGGATAATGTTGTTCATCACTAAATTTAGAGATAAGAGCCGCAATAGGTCCATTAAGATTAGGAACACAAAAGGGAAGGTAAAGTTTCTATTTGCTAACCTCAAGGTGTTTTTTGGTCTATAACTTGGCTTCTAGAAGAGGCTTAATTAAGTAGGCCACGACTACGATTTCAACCATGACAGAGAGGCTGATGAGAAGAGTGTTTAATTGCCGAAGATTAGAGAAAACATTCATTTCACGAGAAAATGTAAGATAGAGCTTGCGAGAGGAGGGTTTCTACTCATAAAGGGTTGTTGCTGGATATGATTACCTCTAAATGAGAGGGCAATGAAATTTGAAGAGGGGAGTTAACATAAACCTAAATACATGCCATAAGAAAAATAAGTCTAGATTTTTTTGCGTTGAGAGAATCCATAGTGAGCGGAACACCCAACTTGCTAGCTATCTTAAAAATAGTTGGGCTAGTCCAGAAATATAATGAAAGATTGTGAAATTTAACCATATAGGCACCTCTACAAAAGAAATAAAATTCAAATACCATCTTTAAAAAGAAAATGCATGAACTATGGTCCACCATCAAAGACCATTTTCACATCTTTTACATTATTAACATTAAAGAGAAAAGAACCTTCGACAAAGAAAATGAGATCAAGATTACATAGGAGACTCCAATGTCTCTGGATCTTTTGTAATAAGTTAACAAGAAGGGCTTTTTATCTATGGCAATGAAGCAAAGCTAACAACCATTGTTTAGAGCCTTTTTCAATATCACCGTCATCAAACTATTATTGTCAACGAAAGAGACATGAGATATTAAAGTTGGAAGAGATAAGTTGTATTGATGATGAAAGATATTTTCGAGTTCATGGATAAGAGTCTTCTCAAAATAGAGGAAGTGGAGGGGGGAGGGGGAAATGATGCATGTGGTGAATGGGCCCGACCCTGCAATCATAGAGGGGGCAAACCCTAATATGGTCCACCATCAAAGACCATTTTCACATCTTTTACATTATTAACATTAAAGAGAAAAAAACCTTCGACAAAGAAAATGAGATCAAGATTACATAGGAGACTCCAATGTCTCTGGATCTTTTGTAATAAGTTAACAAGAAGGGCTTTTTGTCTATGACAACGAAGCAAAACCAACAATCATTGTTTAGAGCCTTTTTCAATATCACCGTCATCAAACTATTTTTGATTTTTCAATATCACCGTCATCAAACTATTATTGTCAACGAAAAAAGATATTTTCGAGTTCATGGATAAGAGTCTTCTCAAAATAGAGTAAGTGGAGGGGGGAGGGGGAAATGATGCATGCGGCGAATGGGCCCGACCCTGCAATCATAGAGGGGGATGGGGAGTTGAAATATACAACCAGGATTAGGGATTTGAAAATACGACCAAAGGACACTTTTTTTTGTTACACAGAAATTGAAATAAGTTATTAATTTCCGTCCATATCATTCCATAAGGCTCGCTCATTCCTGAGATAGATTTGGTTAGTCTTTCTGACTATACTTTTTTTTTAAAAATTTAAGAGCTTCACACAAGAGACCTATGGGATGCGAGAGAAAATGCTGGATCACTGAGAGTCATTTGGCCCATCCCTGGGCAATCTAATTAAGACCAGGTACAAGATGGCTGGAACTCGTCACTTGCTAATTCCCTTGCGATTAGCGTGAAGTCACCTGTCGAAATTTAATTTTTAGTCTGTCCTGTAAAACGGCGCTGCCTTGTCGGCGGCTCGCTTAATCCTATAACGCCACATCTTTATCTTCTTCGCTTCTATGATTAAATCATTTATCTGGATTCGTTCATTTTTCAGTTCCGCCCGGGGTGCCCTCTGGAGAAGCCCGGCCTTCCCATAAATACCTGACAGCCCATCTACTTCTGCTTCCTTCACTCCACTGATCTCTGCGACTGATTGCTCCTCTTCGTAAATAGATTTAAAGCCTGCGCGTGATCCATGTGCCGTTATTGAGCGGTCTTTATGACTGCTTCTACAGCATCTTTGGACTCTTTTACGGCGATGCTTTTATTATCTGCAACGCCTCGACTCGCCGGATCTTATTTCGGGGGAAGGATTTCGGCGACTTGTGCGGGCGCCGCCGGTCCGTCCACATCCCGACCTTACATTCTGCCGTCAGATCGTTGGCGAGGTGGGAGGTGTACGTGCGTGGGATTTCCTTCAAGGTGGAGATCGGTGGAGGGGTGGAGAAGGTCGGTTCTTGCGTCGGATTTGGGAGCAGGTGGAGAGGTTGGCCACTCGAGGCCCCTATTGAGAGCTCGATGCGAGGAAGGTGGGTTCTTTCTTTGTCTGATTATTTATTTATTTTTATTGAAATTTAATCATCCATTCTTTTGATTTTCAGCTCCAGGCTGCCGGATTATAGGTTATTTTTTCCAATTTACTATAAAGTGCTGATTATCCATACCCGTTTTTTTTTATGAAAAAAATTATATTGGCTGTGAGATCCCTTTTTTTTCTTTTCAAACGAATTTGAAAAGTACCAGCTCTTGTACTTATGATAGTTTATTTTTATGGCTGCATTTGAAGCCTATTACTGTGCAATGCAAAATGTGTGTTTTTACATGCATATCTAAACTTTAATATTTCCATCCATAATACTCAAAGTTTAATATTACATAAAAAAAAAAAGATTCCACTATTACTAACTTTAAAACTGAAATACAGCACATCATGCGTAGATTTAAGACACCAAAGTGTTATAAATGTAAATATAAAATTTTAGATGATATATGTGTAAATACATAGGAGTTGTATGATATGTATGTAAATTTCCCACATATATGGATGTGCTTTCTACTTGGAGGCTTTTTGAGTCCCTCGATCAAGTGGAGTGAGGAGGCTTAATGGCTTGACCATGCTGAGCCCTTTTTGATAATTTTTTTGGTTGATTTAATTGTGATGTGATTTAGTTATCATGGTACTCACGAGTCTAGTGATTCATCATCTATGTTATTGATTAGGATTGAGACTCCGAGTGTCTGACATTGCAGCTAAATCACATTTGACAATACCAAGTTAGATTTGCCATGTGACTAGTCTTTTCTAATGGCACATGCCTAGCTAAATCACATTTGACCCACAGCTATTGTGTGCTTCATGTGGAGTTAGACCTTTTTTGCATAACCTCTTCCTCACATCTTTTAGTTTATTTCTTTACCTTTTCAAACATCCTAAATTTATTTTATCTACCCTTTTTATTGATGCATTTCTTACCCTTTTTTCCCATATCACCAAATTTATCTTATTTCCTTTGCTTCAAGTTGTTTGCCACTCACACACCCTCTCTTATATAATTAATTCTCAATATATCACTAATATTCTAATCCATTCTTCATCTTAACATTCTCTTTGTTTCTGCGCTTAATTTGCTCGTCTTTGGTTTTTTATCATCTAAGCACTTTGATTCTTACAATATATCTGGTCTAATGTTGTTATATAAAATTTATCATTAACTTTTTTGTGTTATTTTTATCGCACAATATTTCCGACACATTTCTCTATTTTAATCATCCAGTCTTAACTTTAATGTTTTTGTTCTTATTTATATCCACTTTTGTTTGTATAATAGATTCGAGATATGTTAACTTATCACACGTAGACATTATTTTATTTTCCATTAATGATGCCTAGTAATTATTAATATCTAACAGGCTAAAGTTATGTATCATGCCTTCATTTTTTATTCTATTAATTTTATGGCCTTAAGGTTCATTTTTTTTTCAACTCTCCAACCTTTCATTTTATTGCATGCATGAATATAGATTTAAGTTTGTATAACTCCAAACCCCATGTTTATACTTCTTGTAATCTTCGAAGATGGATGTATCCATGCATAACTATGCGTTCCATGTTTATCCTTTATTTCATTTTTGGACGGTTAAAGGGCATGTGGCTATCTGAAATTGTCTATCATGTTTAATGGTGAAAGTTGCATTGGGTTAATTGATGTCTGCTAGGAATGCGGCTGATTGGGTAAGCATTGCTGGATCAAGCAAGACGTCATAACTAAGGAGTGGGTATCAAAATATTAGGAATAAAATGAGAGTTACTTATATTCGGAAGATTTACATACATACCATTCAATTCTTATGTATTTACATATATGACACCCAAACCTCAATTTTTACATACATTCCACCTTACCTATGCATGAAAAGATGTATTTTTCTTTTTAAAAGTAAAAATGGTGGTATTTTTTGATATGATATGAAACATTTGGGTGGTATAAATGGAAAAAAATAAAGTTTTGGGTGTTTGATATGTAAATACATAGGAATTGGGTGGTTTGAATGTAATTGCCCCTCTATAATTTTTAAATATAATCCGCTTCCCCTATTCATATTAAGAAACAAGACCAGATAGCGGTTATCAAAAGAATATAGGAATAAAATCAGAGCTTCTTATAATATTTAAATGTGTCCTTCTTCTCTGTACAAGTTATCAAAATGTGCTGGCTTGAAAACTATCAAGTGAGGTAGAAGTCATATCCTTATATGGAATGAATGAATTTAATTGTATTACCTTGGGATAAAATTTAGTGCTACTGTCATTTTAGTTATGTATAAAGCATACGTCTTGTAAAGAGAAAGAGGGAAAGAAAGTTATTTTATCTTCTATGTGCTGTTAAATTGTGATATACTGTCAATGGTATAGTATTTCTTAAGAAATCTAATAATATAGTAAATTTGCATTATGCATATTATGCTTATCAGAGACTACAGTGCTGTAAATTTGTTCTCAGGGTGATAAACAAATCCTATGGTTCTCCGTATATATTTCAGCTGTAGATTTGTCTAACTCGATTTTCATAATGGCAATTTATATATGGAAGTTTTGGCTTGCCATGGTTGTGGCCTAGGAACATTATATGTCACCATTACTTTTATCTTGTTGAGATCTGCATTATTGTTATTTATTTATGATAAAAATTTTTAATGTTATAAATTTTTCCATATTCTATGGAGGTAATTTGTGGCATAAAGAGGGAAGGCGACATGTCATTTCCTGGCGCCTCTTTATTAAACATTACAGTAAAGTAGATTTTTTTCCCATAGAATTCCCCAAAGACTAGAATGGTCGCTTCATAGTTCTGCATAAGGACGGTAAAGATTCTTGTGGGAATCTTAAAGGTTGGAGTCTAACAATTGTTTTAGTGAACATATTATCTCTTGTTACTCCAAGCTTGCTTTGTTAAACGATTCTTGTGGATATTTTTCTCTTCTTTACCTTCAATCATTTTTCATACAGAGCTGCTTTCTTATGTCAGAAAGGAAGTTGAAAATGGAAGGCTTTCATTGGATATAGCTCATGGATTGGAGGAACTCTATCATAACTACCGAAATGCGGTATAAAGTTTGATCTTCTAATAGCGTGCTTTGTTAATTCAGTTTTATGATTTTTTTTTCTTCTTAGAAATATCATGCATTATTATAATTTTTGTTTATCATGAATTGGTTAGTTTTCATTATTTCATTTTCCTTGTGACTTTTCAAAAATGTATTAGTTCTGCTTGCTTCATGGCTTGTCAAATGTTCAAATCTGTTGTGACATGCATTAACTGCAAAATCTCCAGCCTTCCATATATTTAGGATGTTTGAATTGTTCTGAATGTCACGGCTTCCCACTTGTAAAGTCTTAATTTAATTGTTGTTGTTTTTTTTTTCCATAAATAATTTTACTGTTTTTTATTGCTGCAAGTGTGGCGGTGATTGATGCAATTACTGTTTTTTATTGCTGCAAGTGTGGCGGTGATTGATGCAAGCATCGTAGCACATCTTAGCGCAAAGCTCTTTATGGAGCCACAACACATAAGAATGATTCAAATTTTGCTATTTTAAACAAACTGCAAAATAATAAAAATATGTATAAAAATACAGGTAAATATCAAACACTATATATTGAAAAATGAACTATCGTGATAATAAAAGCAGCTCAAGTGTTGCTTAGATTCAAATGCTCAACATTTCAACCTCTTAAAATTCAAAATAGTATGTTTTTTTACTAATATATATATATATATATATGATTCGCGCAATAAAAATCCCTAATTCACGCGAGAAAAAGCTTCTTCCCTTTGATCGTGATTCGCACGTCGTCTTCCTTGCATGAGAGCTCTTCTAAAGAGCTGCAGTGCCTTCCTCTTCTACTCCTTCGATCGCGGCTCGACACCCGACGCCACCTGCGGCTACCCTCTCTTCTGCGCAACTTCGCCCCCCGAGTCCGACTTGCGCCCTCGACCTCTTCTGTCCGACTTGCAGCTTTTCTGCTTGCTGTGACTTACTGTGATGAAGCTTCCTCCTTCTTCGGTTGAACCTGACAACACCTCTTTTGCTCACGTTGTGGGTAATCCTCAGGGGGAGAAGATGGCGATCTTCCCCTCAAGTTATGAGGAGAATCGTGATGGTACAAACGACTGCCCCTTTATTAAGAATGCAAGGAGGAAGAGTGAGAATGCAACACTTTTTTCTCTGATATAGAAATTTAAATCCTGACTGACAAATTTAAATTTGCTCTCATTGGGAAATTTCAGTGGGGATACCAAACTATGGAATTTATTAGGAAAAGTTTTGATGACCTTAAATTAGCAGGAAAGTGGAATGTGCGGCTCATGGATGAGAGACATGTATTGATTCAGTTAACCGTGCCTGAAGACTACGCTCGTATTTTCTTCAAAGAATATCTTAACATTGTTGGTAAACCAATGAAGTTACTCAAGTGATCTCCTGATTTTGACTCCAATCATGAACCTCCTATTGTACCGGTATTATCTGGTCTCAAGCTGCACTTTTTTCATCATCAGGTCTTTTACTTTATTGGTGTCATATTTGGAGACCCTATGAAGCTAGATCTACCCACTTTCAATCTTACCAGACCTTCTGTGGCCAAAATACTTGTGGAAAGAGATATTACTTTTAGGGTTTGTTGAAGCCTGGTTTGACACAACGCATAATTGATATTGGCAGCAAATCGTCATGGAGCATAGACCTTCTTATTGTTCTCATTGTATAATGTTTGGGCATACTCTTAATAAATGCCATAAGTTTTATCCTAATTTGAAATCTAAAGATTAAGTGAATAAGGATTGATCTAAAGATATATCTGTACCACTTGGAGAGAATGCTACCGCAGGACAAATTTGAGTGCCTGATTCTATTGCACCTGCTGTTACTGTTACTGCGAGTGATGTGATGCAGACACCTTCAAACCCCATAGAAAACAATACTGATTGGTTATTACCTACAAATGATAGTGATCAGACTGATAATCAGGAGAGCCTCGTAGCTGCACTTCTTCAGGAAGTATCCGGTGTAGAGGCAACTCATACTTCACATATACTAGAACCTATTATGGGTACTGCGGTTGGTATTCCTTCTGCTTCAGCTCTACCACCCTATCAGACTGATTCTTTGGATGAGGAATGACAGGTCTATTCCAGGAGGAAGAAGAAGAATGGAGGCCGACTCCTACTCGGGAACATATTGGATGATACATTGGTTACTAGTGGCAATGACAATATTCTTACCAACTTATTAGCTTGCTCCTTCCCTAGAACTAGAGGCAGAGACAAGACCAAATTGGGTCGCTCTCTAGTCACCTGATACTATGTGTTTCGACACTATTTGACTTTTTATTTTAGTATATAATATATTGTTTGTTTTTTATAGTTTTGAAACATTTTGTGGTTTTTTGTGTGGGCAGGGTGCCATGCTTGGACTCTCCCACACATTGTATCTGTATCTTTCTTTCTATTAATATTAATATATTAGTCTTTTTGAGCTTTCAATATATACTCAGATCAGTTGTTCGGGCATTTGCTTATCAATTGTAAGTCCCATCTGGTCTGGGGTTCGATTCCCCCCGAGTGTAAGTGTGGTACTCAAATGCGTTAACGTATGGGGGATGACCGAGGCTCGTATATATATATATGGGGGAAAGAACAACGGTGACTCCCTACGCGTTAATTAAAAGAAAAATTACAAAAATTGGAGGGGGGAGGATCCCCGTCTATAAAAGGAAAAAAAATACATTTGTAGCACATCCTTAGGGGTTCCTCTCCCCACAATACAACGCACACTAAAAGAAATCAAAATACATGTATACCCAAAATGAAAGGACAAAAACCCAAAAATAAGTATACCTGTGCTCCTGTATTAATAAACATGTAAAGAGAAAAAAAGATGTTCAAAAAATATCTTCAGTCGAGTAATAATTCTCCAAAAGCACTCCCACGAGCAAACAATAAACCTTTGAGACTCTGGAGCGTAGACCAAAGAGATAAAAAAACAGTAGTAGCCAGCAGAAGCCGTGAGAAAAGAAACAGGGCAGAAAGCAGAAACCAAAAGCAGGGAGACACAACCAGACTTGCTGCAAAACCAAAGAAACCTGCCAAGCAAACTAGGAGACCCGCAAGAGAAATACAAAAAGCAGAAACAGTCCCTCAATGGTTGGTAAAGCCAAGAAGCACAAGAATCTAAAAACGAACATATGACAGATTCAAATTATCCTCATTTAGGAGACGTCTGAGAGGAGCATGAGGATAAATGCCAACGTAACAGGCCTCCCCTGTGTGTTTGGGTAACCAATCAACAGGGGAGTTGCCCTCTCTATGAATGGATTTCCAATTTACATCTAATTTCCTTTCAGCCATTAAGGCTAAAATACGTTTAAAAGTGCAATTTATATCCCAGTGGGGAGGTGAGATACCCAAAAAAATATCATAGAACATTTTAGAATCGATTTCCACCTCAATTTTATAACTTTAACATAGCCCAATGAAGGGGGAGCCCACCTAATCAGCCAGGGGGGGGGTCTTAAAGTAGAAACATCAATAGGACCAGCCCTTAGTGTAATAAGCCATCACATAAGAGACGGTCATAGAAGCAGTGGGGGGAGAAGACTTGTGTTTAAAGCTGTTTCTCGAGGTCCAAATAAACCAAAGGACCAATAAAGGAAGGGGAAACCCCGACCCTTATCATATATATACATATA